TTTTTTTTTTTTGGCTCATCAGCTATCATTAGTGTTAGTGTATTTTATGTGTAGCCCAAGACAATTCTTCTTCCAATGTGGCCCAGGGAAGCCAAAAGATTGGGCACCCCTTGGCCTTACATGGTAGCTTTAGAAAGAGACCTTCCTTTACCACTCTATTTGATAGGAGGTTCCTCCTTGTTTTCAGCTTAACCTTTTTTCTTGTTTGCCTCACAAGTAGCATCTGTGCCCTCAGAAAAATGTAATTCAGATGTTATCAGAGTCAGAGGATCCTACAACTGCTCTATGTCCCCCAAAGCAAGAGGCAAATCTACTGCATTTTGACGTAATCTACATTTAAACAGTCCCATTCCTAAACCCGGAAAGTATATTAAGAAGATTAATGAAGCTTGCTTAGCTTTGCATTTCCTCTCTATCCTATCCTCTGATATTAGCAATGCTGTAGCAGTGGGTGAACTGGTTGAGATACACATTTTAGTTTCAGTTTCACCAACAGTGTGAATATTTATGGATTTCATTAGTCTTCTCAACTTGCTAAGTGATGTTTAACATAATTTGAATACTCTAATAAAGATATTTGTGTTCTTATCAGGATCATGTGATCCTATTATTGTTACTACTGTTATTGAGATGGAGTCTCACTCTGTCACTCAGGCTGGAGTGCAGTGGCACAATTATGGCTCACTGCAGCCTTGATTCACTCAAGCAACCCTCCCATCTCAGCCTCCCAAGTAGCTGGGACTACAGGTGCATGCCACCACACCTGGCTAATTTTTTTGTTATTTGTTGTTGTTGTTTTGTTTTTTGTAGAAACAGGGTCTTACTGTGTTGCCCAGGCTGGTCTCAAACTCCTGGCTTCAAGTGATACTCCTGCCTCAATCTCCCAAAGGTGCTGAGATTACAAGCATGAACCACTGTGGTTGAAACACTCTGTCTCTTATAGTTGTTATAATATTCAGAATCTAACAAAAACAATATTTATAGGAACATATCTGCTTTAATCTTGTTTATAATTCTGATAACTTCACATTTATTTTAACAGACAGAAAACAGTATTTAATCACTTATAGGGTTAATTTTTCTTGTATTCTCTGTGTAGGAAACTGTTGGTAAAGACTCAATTAAATTTACCTAACATTTGTTGAAAATTTAGGTGCCAGGTGTAATATGGGGTTAAAAAAATAAGACATAGTTGTTTCTCCAGGATTTAAAAGCTAGTTAGGAAAACACAATACATAATTTCACAAAATAATATAAAACTTCTCAAAAGCAAATTTCAGCCTTTATTGTAAAGTGAGAGACACATAAAAGATTCCTGGTAGAAAACAAAATAGCTATTCTCTCTAGGTCCACACCTGATGTCAGAGTGAACAATAGCAGCTATTGGATGAGGTGTCAGCCATGTGCAACATGTTGAAGTAATAACATTCTATGGCAAGATATTCTAATTTTTAAAGATTTATAAAATATACACAAAGTGAAAGTGGCTCTGTAAAACTGCATCATTTAACACTTTGACTATAACAAAAAAATTGACTTTGGTCTTAGCTCAGAATAGACGAAGCTGGAAACATATTATTGCTATTTGACCTTTGATGTAGCTAGGGAAGCAGTTATACTAAACATGGATATGCTTTTTGCTTGTTGATGAAGGTTTATTGTTGTTTTTAACTTTACTGGTTGTCCCATGAAAAATCTAAAATTTTGAAAGAAAAGACCAGGTATGGTGGCTTCATGCTGAGTATCTCAGCCCTTTGGAAGACCAAGGCAGAAGGATTGCTTGAGGCCAGGAGTTCGAGACCTGCTTGGGCAACATAAGGAGACCTCATCTCTGCTTTAAAAAAAAAAACAAAAACAACAAAAAAAGCCAGGCATGGTGCACACTTGTACATAAAGCTACTCAGGAGGCTAAAGTGGGAGAATCACTTGAGTCTTGGAGGCTGAAGCTGCACTGAGCCGTGACTGCACCGACTGCACTCTAGCCTTGCTGACAGAGCGAGACCCAGTCTCAAAAAATGTTTTTAAATAAAGAAAATAAAATCTTGAAAGAACAGTAAGTAAAATCAAATTCAGGAATGAATCTCAAACTGCAAAATTAATCACAGGGACAGCATTAGTTCACAAGACCATTCAGATTAAAAGTAGTTATTTTTCTCAAGATGAAGACTGAGCAGAAAAACAAGTGGCAGAAGCTGCAAAGCTCAGGGTTCTGAAACCTGATGGCATATTGATACAAGTCATTAGAACACACCCATCACTTACATCAACATCTTTTTTCAATTATCCTTCTCCTGTCCACCTGCCCTCTGTTCTCACTCACTGCTTATGAAAGATCAGAGCAGGAAAGAGCTGGATTATTTACAGAATCTGTGAAACAAAGTAATGTTATGCCTGTTCTCTTTCTTCCAAAAATGGAAAATTACCATACTTTGCTTTGTTATTAAGTGACAGAAAAGCCCTTAGGAGAATGTCCAACTGAAAAACTTGAGAACAATAATTTGTTAGTTTAAAATAATCATAGATCTAAGTTTCAAACTTTAGCTGGTAAATATGATAGTCTTCTTTAGACGTAGGTTTAACTAAGAAGAGAATGTGATCGAAGTCTTTTACTGTCCTAAATTCCCCTATGCAAATTTTGTCAGTAAAAAATTATTAGCACTCAAGATGGGAAAGTTGGAACATTTTTCACCTCCTCTTGAATCTAGTCTTACAGGTATAATTTCATTGCTTTAAGTAACGTGAACTCTATACATTTCAGAAAATACATACAAAAGGTAAATATAAGAACACATACAAAAACAACTCACACACAGTGTATCTTCTCAATTTGTTAGGCAGTCCCTATTGTTTACAACACAAATTGGCATATGCGTGAGAAGACAAGCTCACCCATTTAAGGTCTCTAAGGACTCATGGCTGTATGTTGCCTCTTTGCTTTATATCCTGTTTGTATCTTATACAAAAGCAGCAATTTCACAGAGAAATGATTACTATATGCAAATACATTCACTGTGCTATAGATACCTCTTAGTCTTTTGACTGCACAACACTGACAACACTTTAGAATTGAACTACCATTCTCATGCAGTCTATGTGTTGTCCTTTGTAAGAATGATATACTAATATACATATATAGTTTATATATATAATATATATATATAATATAATTCTTATTACTGTGTGTGTGGCTGCATTTATGTTTGCAGTGGTAGCAATTATTTGGTATTAAGCCCTGACCAAATTCTCCCTGAGAGCAACAGAATCTTCTGAAATACCACTGGTTGGGGTTAGGGATGCAATTTATAGTAGACCAAGTAGAGCCTTCTAAGGCTCATTAACTGATGCTCTAAGGAAATGATTCTCTGACCACAGACAAAATGGAGCCAATTTTCATTGACCGCTGTCCCACAGCATATTAACATACGATATGCTGCCCTAAAGCCCTTGACAGATGCATTACCTAGTTGGACATTTCCTTCTGGTCAAAAAATTAGCTATAGAATTTACATAATTTCAACTATCAGCAGTTCTATATGCCGAAAGAATCAGGCAGGAACAGTAAAATTTGTTACAAGATGAACAGACCTAAAACTCTAATGAAGTTAAGTCCATCCAGAGGGATGAAACATAACACACACACTGACACTCCCATCACAAGTTAATTTCACCATGTTTCTCAGGATGTATTAAAACAGTCTTATTCTAAGGACCTCCCCTACTCATTTATAACACCTTCAAAGCTACAATAAGTGAAAGCAGAGACTAAGAGAGAAAATAACTAACCCACAGAACTCACAAAGATGGTTACCTGGTAGTCTGGTTTTGTAAAATAATCCAAAGAAGAGATATGGTCTAGAAAGATGCTGAATTCTGGAGGGAGATGTTTCAGCATGAGCCTGTGGTCATATCTCTCCTTAATAGAGCCTACTTGCTCCTGGGAAGTAAAGAGAAAAAGAGCTACAGTCAATTTCTCTTGGCGGTTAGGCATTAAGAGCCCCTCAGTAGCCGTCTCAAGGGTATATACTAGGGAATGAGATAGTGGGTAATTAAGTATAAAGCAAGAACTGAGCTCTTACTAACAGCTTAATGTACAATGTTTTAAAATGGAAAAAAACTATTATGCAGAACCAAACAAGTACTACAGAGTTCTGCATCAGTATATTGATAGTCCCCAAAAGAAATTATTTAATTTAGTTTTCTGAGACAGGGTCTTGCTCTGTCGCCCAGGCTGAAGTGTAATGGCATGATCACAACTCACTGTAGCCTCAACCTTTGAGACTCAAGTGATTCTCCTGCCTCAGCTTCCCAAGTAGCTGGGACTACAGGCACATGCCACCATGCCCAGCTAATTTTTAAAAATTTTTTGTAAAGATGGGGGTCTTGCTATGTTATCCAGCCTGGTCTCGAATTTTTGGGCTCAAATGATCCTCTTGCCTCAGCCTCCCAAGGTGCTAGGATCATAGATGTGAGCCATTGCACCCATCTCAAAATAATTTATCTTAAATCTGATCTACTTTTCTTTATCAACACATGTGTTTACAGTTTTCTAAATCAAACAATATAATGTGACAATCAAAAACTAAAAGCTTACTTGACTTACCAAAACAAAGGGGAGAACTAATAAAATTAAAAGCTAAGATGGAAGGCTATAAATTAATCAGAAGCAATTAGTGTCTATTCTCCATGTACACAGAAAAATCTCATAACATTAATTTGATCTCTAATGTCAGCTCAGAGAGAAAAATATATATACTGGGATATAGTAAAAGTGCTTATAGATTTTAAGTCTTATACATAAGTATATTTTCAACAAAAATGTTTATTCAGGAGAAATTTTTATTTCTTCCACCAAAATTGACATCTCCATTCCCAAAATTACCTTGTCCTTTATTTTTCTCCATGGCAGCTGACCAACCACAAACTCCACTAACATGTAGAATAAGGACCAAAGGTCATCATGTCTTCCCATTTCCTTCATAAACAAAACAAAATCCAGTCACATTACATTACTATTACTTGTGAGTACATTACATTGGTCAAGGCCTAACCATTTTGTTTCACCTTATTAGGTGAAAAATGTAAATTGATTTCCCAAAAAATTATATGGTAAATATATATATAAATTTACATAGCAATACAGCAATCTATATGGCAGAATATATAAACTGAAAAACCTTTTGAAACAAAGGACACCCCAAAACATGGAAATGCTGGAAGTAATATAACAGCCCGTTAGTTAATGTGTTCATTTAGAAGAAAGAGAACTCTTAAAAGCTTTTTTTTTTTTTTGAGACGGAGTCTCACTCTGTGGCCCAGGCTGGAGTGCAGTGGCCGATCTCAGCTCACTGCAAGCTCCGCCTCCCGGGTTCACGCCATTCTCCTGCCTCAGCCTCCCGAGTAGCTGGGACTACAGGCGCCCACCACCGCGCCCGGCTAATTTTTTGTATTTTTTAGTAGAGATGGGGTTTCACCGTGTTAGCCAGGATGGTCTCAATCTCCTGACCTCGTGATCCGCCCGTCTCGGCCTCCCAAAGTGCTGGGATTACAAGCTTGAGCCACCGCGCCCAGCCCAGCTTTTTTTTTTTGAAGGTGGAAATAAGGGAAGCAAGCTGCTCCTGAAGTTTTGGCCGCTCTGGGGGCATCTGTCGTCAGCGTATCCACCAGGAAGGGGACAGGCATAAACTCCTACATGGGACGGGAGTTGTAACTGAGATACATGCCACCCCCACCATATAGCTAGGGCCCTAAAAGGGTTACATCCGTAGTGTAGTATTTGGTGTGTACCTTAGACTATAATAATTGTTTTCTGTAAAATTTAACTGCTATCAAAAGAAAAAAATGAGTTTTTAAAAAATTGCCCTGAGAATTTGTTACCATAGGCCTGTCCCTCATTTAGACTGGGGGGTTAAATATATACCTGTGTGGTCTGAAAAACCAAGGGTGATCATGCCCTGCAGGAATGACAGAAGCAAATTTGTCCTCTCAGGATAAATACATCCCTAAATTCAGACCTCACAGAAGTGCTATACAAAAAGCCTCACCAAATGTTCATTATTCAGATTTATAAAGTGTATTAATAAGCTAATGTCAAAAGAAGCTACAAAAAGTAGAAAAAAGTATCCAAGGATTTCAGAAATGGAATCATAGGATACAAAGAATGTTTAAAATGTTAAAATGAAAAATGGAATCAGTCACCAGAAAAGAATCATATTCAATAAAAACAAACCAAAACCCAACCAGATTTGAAAAATGACTAAAAAGAACATCTAGAAATAAAAAGCACAATTATGGAAATTAAAAACTCAATGGACAGGTTTAAAAGCTGATCAAACACAGCAGAAAAAAATCAATTGGAAAATAGATCTGAAAAAATTATCTAGAACGCAGCACAGAGACACAAAGAATTAGAAAATCCAGTAGTGAACTTAAAAGGAAGTACAAAGGACAGCATAAGAAAACCTAAGAAAGTCTAATACATCAATTTGGTGACTGGGCAAAAAGGGTATAAAGGGAAAAAGGGAATATGAGAATCTTCCAGAATCGAGGAAAGACATGAACATTTTGGTTAGGAAACACATCAAATCCCAAACAGATAAATATCTAAAAATCCACACCTAGGCACATTTGAATGCAGGACTCCAAAGACAGAAGATACCAAAAGTATTCAAATAAAAAGGACAAATTGGCTAGGCATGGTGGCTCATGCCTGTAATCCCAGCACTTTTTGGGAGGCCAAGACAGGTGAATTGCTTGAATTCAGGAGTTCCAGACTAGCCTGGGCAACATAGCAAAGCTCCGTCTCTACAAAAACTACAAAAATTAGCCAGGTGTGGTGGCGCATACCTGTGGTCCCAGCTACGCAAGAGGCTGAGATGGGAGGATTGCTGGAGCCCAGGAGGTCGAGGCTGCAGTGAGCCGAGATCATACCAGTATACTCCAGCCTAGGCAACAGAGCAAGACTCTCCCAAAAAATAAAAAATAAAATAAAATTTTAAAACGGACAAATTAAGGCCGGACGCGGTGCCTCATGCCTGTAATCCTAGCACTTTGGGAGGCCGAAGCTGGTGGATTGCCTAAGCTCAGGGGTTCAAGACCAGCCTGGGCAACATGGTGAAACCCCGTCTCTATTAAAAAATACAAAAAAGTAGCTGGGTGTGGTGGCGTATGCCTGTAATCCCAGTTACTCAGGAAGCTGAGGCAGGAGAATTGCTAGAACCCAGAAGGCAGAGGTTGCAGTGAGCCAAGATCATGCCATTGCATTCCAGCCTGGGCAAGGGAGGGCGAGAGAGCAGGACTCCATCTCTTAAAAAAAAAAAGTAAAAACAATTAAATAAAGTAACAAAGATGTTTTCAACAGTGACCCAAGAAGCAGAAGAAGGTAATTTTTTTGAAGTATTGAGATAAATATTAACAAGATTAAAATGTAAAACAACAATAAGACAGTATGACAGAGTTCAAGTGTTTTTTTGTTTTGCTCATTTTTTGAGACAGAGTCTCGCTGTAGTCAGCCCGGGCTGGACTGCAATGGGGCACTATCGGCTCACTGCAACCTCTGCCTCCCAGGTTCCAGCAATTCTCCTGCCTCAGCCTCCCGAGTAGCTGAGATTACAGGCGCCTGCCCACCACACCCGGCTAATTTTTATATTTTTAGTAGAGACTGGGTTTCACCATGTTGGCCAGGCTCAAGTGTTTTTAAAAGTCCTTGTATTATTTAAGAATTATTTATGTTAAAACTTTAAGATTTGGCAAGGCATGGTGGCTCATGCATGTAATCCCAGCACTTTGTGGGGCTGAGGCTAGAAGACTGCTTGAGGCCAGGAGTTTGAGACCAGCTTGGGCTACATAGCAAGACTGTCAATACAAACAATTAAAAAATTAGCCAGGTACAGTGGTGTGCACCTGTGGTCCTACCTACTGAGAAGGCTCAAGCGGGAAGACTGCTTGAGCCCAGGAGTTCAAGGTTATAGTAAGCTATGATCCTGCCACTACACTCCAGCCTGGGCAACAGAACAAGACCCTGTCTCTAAAAAGTAAAGTTTAAGGAACCAGAAAAAGAGAAATGGAGTGTATTATTTTTAGATATTATCAAATCAGGGATTCAGAGTATGGAAAAAAGAAGCATGTTAGAATTATCTGGGAAACCTTTTAAGATTAGACAAGCAACTCTGGAAGTTCCAAGAGCTGCACTCCTGCATCACCTCACAAATTAACAATCGTTGTGAACTACATTACTGAGTAAAAGCATTCTACCCCTCAGGTGTGCTGAGAGCAGGAAAGAGGGTTAAGAACCACTGCTATATACTATATAACCTCTACAAGGTTAGATGAGTAACAAATAAGCAAGTTATCAAAGTAACTGTTAAAGGACACTACACTGGAAAGGCTTTTAGAAGAAATTGCCGCTGTCTAAATTAAAACAATAAAAGTACATAATCTCTTTCTATTCGCTACTTTGAAAATGCTTATGTAGCTATTATAATCTCTGAAAATACTTACATTTATCTTAAAAATAATGTACTTTCACAGATTCCAATGTTGACATAATTCTTTAATAAAATTAATTGGAAAACCTAGTATTTCTAAACTTTTATAAGAATCTATCAGGAAAAGAAGAGAAATTCTTTTCAAGGCAAAGTAAATGACTAGATAACATAAAATAAAGCAACATTGAATCAAACCAAATGAGTTTAAATGCTTGGCAGAGTGCTACACACTGAGAAAAATGGCTTTACTATTTTCAATTTATAATGACACCATAGGAAACCAAATTAACTGGAGCACAGCATTTAAGATCACAGTATACTCTTCCTATTATATGTTGGTCAAGTTCTCATTAAAGCAATTTTGGCTTATCAGAACAGGAACAAGGTAAAGAAAAGAATCAAGAAAAAACACTTTTCTCCCTGTTTTATAAAGGAATCACTTGTTAAGCTTCTCAACTCCATGCAAAAAAAGTTAAAGGATTGATAATCCATAAAAATGCCCACTTTTCCTACTCATAAAGTTCGGGATGAAGGGGAAAAAGTCAGCGCAGAACAAAGGGACCAAAGGAAGGGGGTGAGGGAGATATTTTTAAAATTTAACCCAAGAGGAAAGGGATAATTTACTAAAATGAACATTTTTAAATTGTCAGTACTTGAAATCTTCATGAAAACAAAAGGTTTGGTAGGGAGAGGGATATCACAGATTAGATACGTATTACAGACAAAATGATGACTCCACATTTCATTAGGTATTGATAGCATTATATTACCAAATAATTTCTTGAAATAGTACACAGGTGTTCAATCTCTTCCAAATTCTCTCTCTCTATATATATGTATCTTTTTTGAGACGGAGTCTTACTCTGTTGCCCAGGCTGGACTGCAGTGGTGTGACCTTGGCTTACCACAACCTTCGCCTCCCAGGTTCAAGTGATTCTCTTGCCTCAGCCTCCCAATTAGCTGGGACTACAGGCGCATACCACCATGCCCAGCTAATTTTTGTATTTTTAGTAGAAACGGGGTTTCACTATGTTGGCCAGGCTGGTCTCGAACTCCTGACCTTGTGATCTGCCCACCTTGGCCTCCCAAACTTCTATATTAAATTTGTTAATACTTATATCTAATTAAGGACACAGATTCCCCATAGACATAAATACACTTAGCGATTGTCTTTTCTGGCAAATTCAATTTTATTTTCCAAGCAGCTGCACATATCTATTATCCACGATACACTATACCTTGCATTAGTATTACCAATTCCATTACCATCAGTGCCACACAAGAATGAATTAGAACAAACATTTCAAGCAACTTTGTAGCTATTAAAGGGATCCTCAACTCTCAAGCACTTTCCATACCTTTGTTTTTATTAAGAAGTCAATCTCACTTTGGGAGGCCAAGGCAGGTGAATCATGAGGCCAGGAGTTTGAGACCAGCCTGGCCAATATGGTGAAACCCCGCCTTTACTAAAAATACAAAAAATTAGCTG